GGAGAAAAAATAGCAATATAATAAAAAGTGACACAGAATGTGGGACAAAAAATCCGTTGCGTGTCACTACCATCTACATTTACATCTGTATATGGTTAGAATCTTCCAATTGCAAGCATTTAAAAAAAAATAAGCCTCCGAGAATTTCTCTGAATTAGGAATCTTTTGTCATTAAAATTACGAGATTCGCAAGTATCTAAATTTGAAACAATAAGTATCAACCGTATGTTTCCATCTTTATTAAAGTACATGCATCCTAATTTTGCAAAATGAATTCATCGTTTGAAAGTATTGCTATTAAATTCCTCAGTTAAAATGAAAGAAATGTAGGCACGAAGATTATGTTTCAATTTGAGAAAGCTTTTTTCTTTCTGTCTTCCTTTCTTTTTATAACAGCAATTTGACAAAAGCTATGGGCTCCGTTTGGATTAGCTGTTTTTAGGGTTATTTTTCAAAAACTATATGAAAAACTTTTACTGTAGATGTTTTTTGGATTATCTTTAGAGGTATTTTTAAAACATATTTTTGAGTATTTTTATAATTTATAATTTTTATATTTTTATATTTATATACATTTATGCATTTATAATACATTTATAAATATTTATAAATAAATATATTTATATATTTATATAAAAATATATAAATGTATTATGTTATATATAATACATAATATAAATATATTTATAAATGTATAAGTGTATATTATTATAAATGTATAAATTATAAACGAATATTGTATAAATGTATAAATTACTATATTATAAATATATATTAATATTATGTATAAATGTATTAATATAATTAATATAAATGTATAAATGTATTAATATTATGTATAAATGTAAAATTAATATTGTGTTTATTAATATAAATGTGTAAATGTATTATAACTGTATTATATTATATATAATACATAATATAAATATATATTATAAATATACATTAATATATATTATGTATAAATGTACATTTATATAAATGTTTAATATATAAATATTTAATATATATAATATACATTAATATTAATTATAAATATTATAATATTATAAATATGGTGTTTATATAATATTTCAATTTGTAATATTTATTGTATATTTTGTTATATAAATATTTATATAATATATAATTTTTAATTTTTAATTTGTATAATATACATAATATTGTATATATATAATATATTATACATAATATACATTTATACATCATTACATGTTATGTATATTATATATTATACATAACATTATTATACACAATAATGTACATAATAATATTATACATTAATAATGTATATATTATAATATAATGTACATAATATATTATGTATAAATATTTGTACATTTATGTATACAATATTACATATTACATATATTATATTATATTATGTATAATATACAATATTATGTATAATATTAATGTATATAAATATTTATATAATATATAATATATAAATATATAATTTTCAATTTGTATATTTCAATTTATATTAATATAATATATATAATATACATAATTGAAATATACAAATTGAAATATACATATGGAGTTGTTTTTGATATAATGTTTGGATATAATGTTTTTGGAGTTATTTTGAAAATACATATTTACTGTAGCATTTGGAATGTGAAAAATAGTTTTGCAAAAACAAAAGCAAAAATAAGGAATCAAAACGGACCCATGATACACGGTTCAAGTCCATCGCGTGGAGAATTTGGGATAATGAAAGACGGAGCCCAATACTTTATCTCTAGAGGCCTGAACTCAGACTGATCTCACCATGTCATATTCGTTCAACAACAATTCAACTTTAAGAAGCTCCGTGCAGTTGTTTGGGCCAAGCGCATTCTTACCTTCGGCTTATGATGTGAACTAATTTTTTTTCCTGTGGGAATGATGATAGTCACGGTGTCATGGCATTTAAACGAAAAAAATAGTAAAGTTGCCCGTATGGATTTCCTTATACTATATAAGAATGAGTTTAGATCTTGAATTTCAACCGCAAGGGTGGGGCTTTTTTGGAAATATGAAAGTGTTTGAAGTGCAATTAGAGTATTGAATATGAGTCATTATAACTAATTTAGTTTTGTTGTAATTACTTGGATGTTCTTTTAAACATTTAAAACTAGGGGTAAATTTGACATGTGACAGTGTTTGATATCCGATTAAACATTGGGTACAACTGAATTCAACTTGTGTTTTAGTGAAATTACATAAAAACCCTTCTAATCATTTAATTGTAAATTTCAACCGCAAGGGTGGGGCTTTTTTGGAAATGTAAAGGTGTTTGAAATGCAATTAGAGTATTGAATATGAGTCATTATAACTAATTTAGTTTTGTTGTAATTACTTGGATGTCCTTTTAAACATTTAAAGCTAGGGGTAAGTTTGATATGTGACAGTGTTTGATATCCGATTAAACATTGGGTACAACTGAATTCAGCTTGTGTTTTAGTGAAATTACATAAAAACCCTTCTAATCATTTAATTGTATTAACATTTAAGTCTTTTAATTTCTTAAAGCCTTTCTCATCAGTTATTTGCAAAGTTATAATATATAGATGTTAAGACACAATTAATGTCAATTAGTAGAGAAGTTGGCCGTTACCATAGGAACCTCATCTATTCAAATTCATTTCATTTACTTATAGGTTTTGTTCCACCACAATCATGCAGTATATTGAATTCGGACGTTGCTATATTAGCTACTCCTTTTCCCCATTTTATGACACCTTTTTCAATAGGTATGTTTTCTTTAACCAATCTACTTTTTGGTTATAAAAATTTTGTAATATTGCAAGTTGTATGTGCAATAATTTTTAGTATTTTAATTCAATTGTCCATGTTAGACAAGCTTGATAAGGAAGAGACTACATTTGTTAATTGTTATTTATGGTTTACATTAAGTTTATCATCATAAATTTTCCCATTTATAGATTGCATCTACTTCTTTTGTTGTTTTAACTATTAGTTAGAGTAATTTTCAAATCATTTGCTACTTTATTGACTATTCCATTTGGACAATTTTTCACGTCATCTGATTTGTCAATATGTTTAACTATCTACTTAAAACTATTTGGCTACAAATCTAAAGTATATACCTCATTACTTTTAATTGTTTTTCTTGAATTGAGTGGATTAAGATGCTTTAGTACTTTTTAGAGGTAATTATTCCTCTAAATTGGCATGTTAGTTGTTGTATATCTTTGCAACTAACACAAAACTGATATTTCGTGATTGTAATCCCTATCGAGAAGGAGATACTTTGCTATATGTTCTAAATCATACAATAAATTATAATTAATTGGTTGCTCAATGTGAAGGCCTCGTGATGATATTTGTCCTTGAAATCAATATAAATTCAAGAATTTGGCTTGCAAGAACCGAAATTCCGCTAGCAATGATTTCTTCAAATATGTTAATTGTTCAAATCTCATTTATATGACAAGATAATGTGGTGGATTGCCCTCATATCAGGATCAAATTCAAACTAAATAACAAATTTTAATATCTCTAAAATGCATGAGCAGATATAAATAGGTCTTTTATTATACTAGGTTAGATGCAAAGTAGTTGATCATATCTTATAATTATGTTTTATTGCATATTATATTTTTTAACTCAATATATAACTTATGATTTTTTTTATTTAATATCACATAATAAAATTGTAATACTTCAATTCTTATACTAGAAAATACCAAATAATAATTATCAACTGTTTTTAATTATAGGCACTAAACTCCCACGCTTTGCGTGGGCTTTTCCCCCTAGTTTTTATTAAAAAAAAAGGTTTGAATTGTGTTTTTAGTTACCATCCAAAAAATAATAAAAAAAAATAAAAGTTGCCTTTGGATTTTCTTTTTTCTTTTTTGCAAATTATTTAATTGTAATAACTTGTATGATTCGTTTATGTGAGACAAAAATGTGACATAGTTTGGAAAGATGCCAAAATAAAATGGCAAATAATAGGAAAATTTTTCCAGACTTAGCTCTTTGTGTATTTTATTTCTTGTTATTCAAGCCTACTGAAAATGGACCTTATCTATCATATGACATATAATCTCCTCCAAAATGCGCAAGCTTCAAAAATATATGGCACATACATGACATTTTTCTTTTCCTACGAGGCATATTAAAGTACGTACCGTGTAAGACTATCCAGAACAAAGTGGCACTTTCTTTGATGTTTCCCGAATCAGCACAAAATCAAGATTCAATTGTTTCGATTACTAATCAATGAAAAGTGTAGACAATTCTTTCCAATGATTGCCTAGTGTGGGTATTATACACTCGTCGATATATGTACACAATTCAGTTGCCACAAAGATTAACTCATTAAAAGATTCAATAATCCCCATGCAATCTGATTTCCACAATGATGTTGTCAATTTTTACCAAAAAAAAATTCAACCATAAAATATGTGCAGGAGATCAAAATATAATTGTTACATCTTTCCCTAACGTTTTTTGGCACTAAGGACGTTGATCAGCTTTAGAAAAATTATGGTTTTTTTTTTTTTTTTGGATGGGATGGGTAAAGAATCAAGGAGCTCTAAAAGGTTTCGTCAACTTTTTGCTAGAAACTCAATCAATTCTATATCCTATGTGCATGTAAACTTGTGCCCAAAAATCAATATCTCAATCATTAATTGTTGACCAATTTTCTTTTTCCCCGTGCATAACATCACCTAGCTCCAACTTCGCGTTACCTTCTTTGTGCAGATCGACATGCATATGATTATCACCTTTATTCTCCATATTAAATTTCGCAAATACTCCCATCCTTTTTTTATAATTGACGTTTAAGAAATTTGCTCTAGTATATTTTTATCTGTCGTTTTATTATCCCCATACAGTATTAATTATTTTTTCACAATTTTACCCTTTTATCTCTCTTCTCCAATACAGGGTTCTTAATTACTACTTCTAGTAATTATTGCTTCTCTCTTTGTAAAAACCTTAGTAATTAATGAGGGTACAAAAGAAAAGTAGTGTACAAATTTAAGCAATAAAAAACTTTTCTTAATTGGTGTGAAAAACCTTAAACGTCAGTTATACAAAAAGGGAGGGAGTATATCACAAAGACAGATATGCAATGATGAGTATTTAATATCATGCATGCCCTTGAATCTGCCAAACCCTATAGCATATGAGACTCAACAGATGCAGGGTTGACTAGGTGGGTATGGTATAATTTACGGTCCAAATCTCGAGTATAATGATAGATTCATTTGAAAAATAAATGCCCTAAATCGAATATGTTTCATCCTATTCTGTCTTAGTGGTGAATTGCACCATGCATGCAATGCAGTAGCTACTTTATAAATACATGCTCACATTTATTTTACATCGGACACTTTCCAAGTTTGAATGACAATTTTTATAAATACTAACACATAACCATCTCTTCACCAATTGCATACCAGTTATACAAACCTGTTTCATATAGCACTCATGAATTTGTTCTTTGTGTTGATCCTCAAAGAAGGAAAATCCACCTGCAAAATATAGTTATTGAAACTTCAAGTTGGAGAATTCATCCACACACCAAAGAAGTTCAAGTTGGAGAGAGAAAACAAATTTATAAAAAGCATTATTCTAGATATAACTAATTCATAAACAACGCTTGTAAAAGGATTTTCAATGTCACAAAAATTCATAAACAACGTTTGTAAAGGGATTTCTTTCAGTATCGCAACATGCTTGTGCACAAAAAGCTTTTCTTGAAAAGACTAAAAAAAGTCCATACACCTTTATTCTTTATCCTTAAAAGGAGATTAATTAAAGCGCCATAAAGTTATGCCAAATCAGGTTCTTGATGACTTAATTAAGCTTATTGTGCTTGGTGGACATTCTTTCTTAATTTGTTATTTACTATTAAATTGGGAAGCAACAGCACGATAAGGATCCAACATGTACTCTTAAGCACATAAATAAGGCAGAACTTCAACAACAATATGATGCTTCATTAGCTCCTCAAAACGATGTATAATCCTGCCCTCCCTCTTCTAGAAATCGGACAATGCTCCAACGATGCAGCAGGAACACCATCTAAATTTGAAGAATGATTTCATGTTTTAGACACCTAGACAATCTAAGCTTTGTGCTATTGGGGCCAATGTAGCATTTTCCCAGTTCTACGTTTGCAATCATTACCCTCTCCTGTGTTATCTAAACTTCAATATGGAGCAGCATTTCGTTTAGATTGGTTTCTAGGAAATTAATCATATGCACACTGGCCAATAAATCAGTCATTCATCAATTTCTAAAACGTAGTATATATACATTTCTATGCAGCATGCAGCTGGAGAAAGAAAGAAGTAAAATGGAAATTCATTCCCACAAATCTAATGCTCTCTCAAGATTAGTTTTCCATAAGGCATGAACTTTACAAGTCTTCCAAACTTTGCTTGTCCACAAATTCAATAAGACAAAACATGTACTAAGAAATTTCCGTTTGGGATAATATTGTCTGGTTGTCCAACAAAGATCCAAATTATCTACGTTAAACCATGTATCACGAAGTTTCGTTTCGCCTCATGTTGTAAAGGGTTATAACTTATGTGGGACACATACATATGATTCCTATTCGATGGAAAAATTAATGCAGTACAAGATTTTTTTTTAATTGAAGCTGTACAAGAAATTATCTCGTTGTGCTACATGAAGGATTGCAAAAAGCACGAGTAATTTCATCTGTTTTGTATTGTATTAAGTTTATTAAAAAACTTTTTTTCACATATATGTCATTATTTGTTGTTCTAGATCATAACCAAAAATAATAATACTTATAATAATCCATATAAGTACATAGTAGAAATGATACAATTGTAGAATTATGTAAATCTAACGTCATAATACCAGCACAAAAGCAAGAAGAACTTGGGTACTAAACTACTTACAAGTTAATAAGAGATTTTTCAAGACACCTGTCTGAGAGCTTAGAGGGCTAGAGCTGAGATAGCACGGATACTCTCCTCTTCAGAATCTGTGGTCTGCGACTGCCGAGCAAGAATCAATCTCTCGCTCACCAACCGCAGAGCCCGCTGCCACCTGGTGTTGGCGCCGTTAGTGAATCCTGGTGGCTGGGAACTGAAGGTTATCTGGCCCATCTGAAAAATGAACAATCTGGAAGCATAGGCTGCATTGATGAAAACCTGATGAAGAGGTTTGAAAGTAGTGAAGATGAACTTGATCAAAAAAGGGCCTACTAAGCTGGCCATTATTGGAGTGCTTAGGCACATGTGATGACCTGCGCTCAAGAGTTTGAGCTTTGCTACTAGAACCAAGTGAAACCCCATTATTGCAAGGCTTTTCAGCTAGGGATTTGGAGTTTAGGGAGGAATCTTGGAAACCCTAGTTTTGTTTGTAAGAGGGAGTTATCTTAGCTATGTCCGTGTCAAATAGAGAAATACGTAATGAAGCACGAATAAAACACCCCAAAAAGCAAAAGAAATGAAGTGTAAGGCACTGATTTGTTAGGCGAGAGAAAGAAAGAACAGCAAGGGAATTTATTTAAGGTATAATTTCAGAAACCTCCCATGAGGTTTCGAACAATTGTGGCCACCTCCCCTAAGATTTGAAAATTGCACTTATCAGTTATCTCCCTTGATACTATGAAAGACAATGATAGCCTTTACAAACTTTAAAAATATTAAGTGAAAATAGGTTTTTTAAAAAAACAATAATTCTTTTTTGGCAATGCTTCTTGATCCTAAAACTCTAATGTCATCTAATTTAGTACATTACACTTTATTTCTAATTTTTTACTAGATTTATTAATCAATTTACAACAAGTCAACCACCCAATTAGAGAGGCATTTGTTAAAATAAGTATCTTCAAAAAGTACTTAACTAAAAAATATGTCTAAAGTATCAAAAAAGAATGCTTTCAAAATATGGCTTAAATTTTCCTGCAAAAAATTAACTTGAAATTTTCACCCAATAGATAACGGTGATAATAATTGACTTTTTAGTATTTAATTTGTTTTACATATTAGAGAGGAGTAACATTGAACATTCATTGTTTTTTTTATATCATCAATTGTTACCAAAGTATACTTTATAGGGAAGGTTTCTGTAATTATTCAAATTTCAAGAGAGGTGAATGCAATTGTCAAAAACCTTAAGGAAGGTTACTGAAATTATCCTTCTATTCAGTGATTCTCTTGTAATTAGAGCATTTGCATACCACAAATGGAGAAAATTAGTGAAACCAAAACACACAAAATTTGGTTGATTTAGCTTTGTACCCTTCAACTGTACCGAAAATTCTCATTTTGGTGCCTAAATTTTAAATGAGACACTTTAATCCTTAAAATGTAGAAATTATCCCACTAAAGTTAGATAGATATTATATTTGAGTAGGACAAATTTTATAATTAGGGACTAAAGCGGGATAAATTTTTATACCTTAAGAACTAAAGTGGGATAAATTTTATACTTTAAAAACTAAAGTGTCCTATTTCAAAATTTAAGAATCGATGTAGGAATTTGAGCATAATTGAAGAAAGCAAAGTGAAATTTATCCCAAAAAATCAGAATCAGTAGAATGTAAAGGATGGAGTTCGGGGGCTCCTGACACCGTTTTGATTTGGTATGGATGTGGTCCTATATTTTGGAGATTGTACGAGATGAAAATTTTCTAGCTAAACCTTGACGACAGAACTAGTTTTGTATGGCCTAGTCTGGTGAGGTACTTGGACAGCAAAAACAACAAGCAGGACGATTGCTTGGACTCAATCAAGCTTTTCTTTTTCTGAGAATACGATATTCAAAATGCGAGCCCCCCAAAAAAAAAAAAAAAAAAAAAATCTGAACAAACAGTTCTGCAATAAAATCCCATTTGTGTCGCTAAAGCAAAGGTGCTCCTTCCCACCAGAAGTAACTAAATAAAAAATTGGCAGACTAGTTTGAGGAAAGATTTTAAACGGAATTAGTTCCCTTTAATTAGTATCAACGTAGAAATTGGTTAAAAATCGAAGCAGCCCGAATTCTCCAGTCTAAACAGTTTGACAAAATTGATTTTGGCAGCTAAAACAGACTACAGGTTTGAAAACCCTGGTGGAAATAATCATGATTATCAATGCAGTCGGATATCTTCGCAATCTTGCTAGACTTAAACTTGCAGTTCTAATGTTTAAAAGTGTGTCAGAAACATTCTTCTTTAGGTGGAACAAGCTCACCTAGGAAAAATTTTGTTTGAAGCAATCTCTAACTTGTAAACCTTTTTTTTGGTCAGCAAGCAACGATACATTTGTATAACCTACTATATCCTGATAGGGGTTAGTGGGTATACAGATCTAATTAAATCAAGGGAGTGTTATGACACAACATTTAGATTTTTACCTGATTTGTTACCAAATCATAAACCTCAAGGTAGGTCAGTGTAAGTTTTAAATCTTAGAGGGAGGCTAGTGTAATTGTTACAAATCTTATGGGAGATTTCTAAAATTACCCTGATTATTTAGTGGCAATGGATCAAAATGAAATGAAAGGGCTACAACTTTAGTGCAATTGTTGAAATACGAGTTGAAGGCCACATGCAACTGTGAACAGAATTTGGAGAGATTTGTGTGCCGGACAACCTCGACCTTGCCATTGCAAATCACGACAATTGGTGGGGGCAGTTAGATACGGCTGTAAGCTGAGCCGACGAAATTTCTCTGAAACTTCCTTCTTTTCGTAGACTTCGGACTTTTCTGTGACAATCATGCACCAAAAAACATGCATTCCTGTGCCAAATCGAGAGATGATGATATTTGGCTCCACTCTCCGACAGGCGAGTTTTCCCGTTTTGATTATCATGGACATTGGATTTTTGTCCATCTTCGGGACTAGCATCATTGCCATCTTAATATAGAAAAGAACCATCCTATTATTCAAGTTCTAAGCACGGTATTCTATCCCATACTAACGTAATAGAAACACCATTGAATTGATAGCTTCTTCATGCATTCTTCCAAAAAAGAGCTTCTTTGCTTTCCATCGCTTTGGCTGTCAATGTATAGCTTACCTCTATTCCATGAAAATGCATGCTAACTTTAAGTAGCTTACCTTTATTCCATGAAAATGCGTGTCAACTCTTCGTCTTTTTACCCTTCAGATGGTTTAGGTTCTTAGGAATGCAGGAGTTAAAAAACTCGAAACAATTGAGACTCGTGCCGTCAAGAAAACAATTTGTTCGGATAGAGAATTATTTGTCAAAATTTATTTATTTATATCATCAACACATTTTTTAATTATTATTTTATCTCAAATAAATTGCAATCAAATCGCTATTTTTAAAAAAGCTAAATTCGTGAAACATAACAAATAAATTGGGACGGAAGAGTAGTATTTTTTTTTCAAAAAAAAAAAATATTCCAAATAATCTATTATTCCAACATGCTCATGAGAATGGCCCAACATTGATGAGCGCATAGATCACACTTAAAATAGGCTCCTTGGCTATTTATTGACAACTGAGCCTATGACAGCGTGCGAAGGGCCCAGCGTTTTGCATATGTGGGCTTCAAGAATCAAATAAATGGGCCTTTACATCTTCAACCTGGTGAGCGACGTCCAACCCTTTTTCATATAGGGACCATTCCGGCCACTTATTAGGACAAAAATGATGAAATGAAACGATTAACGTTGATGTCAACTTTAAAGGTTACGAGAAAACTCTTATGTTTACAACATTAAATTTGTACAAATAATTAAACCAAGATAAATGTTAAGATTTTCAAGTATTTTATAATATTCTCATTTTATGTAAATTAAACTTATGACAAAATGAATATACTAATGGCAAAAAAAAAATTCAGTCACCAACTACGTGGTGACGGGGTAGGTGTTGATGGTAACCTCAACAAGGTGCTGGTTCAATGGAAAAGGTCGGTTTACTAATTGGGCCCAACTTTGCTCAAATGTCAATCAGAGATCCACAACCCAAAGAAGGCAGTTTGTCAAAAGTATGACTTTGGGCTGAGAAGAAAACATGAAGCGGGTTGGGTTAACTCAAGGCCCAAAGTACTAAAGTAGCTTGACAAGGTATCTAGGCCGGGTAACCTGACGCCCACGAAAGTTACAAGTTGCTGAAGCCAAACAGTCCCTTAAATGGGATTCTCACAGTGTTCTTCAGGCTTTGGACACTTTCAGAGTTCGGAGAGAGGCTTTGCCAGCTCCGTCTAAAACCCCTTTATGAAAATTTTCATCTTCCTAAACCCTAATCCCTCATTGTTATTATTGTTGCTGTTATTGTTATCTGTTTTGGTGGATTATTATAATTCAAAATAGCAATGAAGGAAGAAGTAAAAGGAGGAGGAGGAGCCCCAAACAGAGAACTTTATGCACTGCTGAATATATCACCAGAAGCCTCTGATGAGGAAATTAGAAAAGCTTATCGTCAATGGGCTCAAGTCTATCACCCTGATAAATATCAGGCTGCTCAAGTACTCCATCATCCCAATTTTTTTCCCTTTTTGGGTTGCGTTATTTGGGATATTGTGTTCCAATTAAGAATTTCCATAAATCATTTCTTGAATGGATTGTTCCTGTTAATTATCAATCTCCTTGAGTTGTAACATCCCTTTTCGTATTGCTACTTTATTCGCTAGTTTAATTTCATCTACAATATTTTGTTGGGGAAAACTTTAAGATTTTGTTATGCATTGTGGAGTATGTGAATGAGAATTCCAAATTTGGGCGTGGTATTCTTTTATCGAACATTATGCATTATCTTGGTAAATGTTGTTGGATTTTAAGCTGGTCTACCAGTTGACTGTGACTGGGTCTGGGACTTGATTATTGGTATGTTATATTGCATTCGATACTTAGTAGTTTTTTTTCTTAACATTCTTTCAAATAGATCATATTAGTAAAGGTTCTACCAATTTGAGAGAATTATGAACCTGGCTAGCTCATGTATCGGTATCAAAACTGCATCCTATAAAATGCTCGAAATGCAATATGTGCATCGACAGCTGATGGGCAGATTGTTTGCTTGTTATTTATTCTTTTATTTCAATCTGGTATGGGGATTGGGCTAGGGAACTGCATTAGCGTGGGACCTTAGCTAGTTCCGCCTTTTGTACAAAATTAGTTGAAGAAAGGATTTTTTGGATTCTTAGTGTTCGGGAAAAAGAATCTAAACTAATTTGTGCTTAAACCTTTGCAGATGAAAGATATTGCAACAGAGAACTTCCAGCGTATATGTGAAGCCTATGAAATTTTATCAGACGAGCACAAGAGGCTGATATATGATATATATGGCATGGAAGGACTAACTTCTGGTTTGGAACTTGGTCCAAACCTCAATAAGGCCGAAGAAATTAAAGAAGAACTTGAGAGACTGCGGCGTCAGAAAGAACAAGAAAAGGTCTCATCACATGTTCGACCTTCTGGTTCAGTTATGGCAAATCTGTCTTTGCCACAATTTTTGGAGGGTGATGGCATTATGAGAGGGTACAGCTCAT